CTGAATACTTTCCATACCCACTGTACATATACACACAAACATTCATATCAGTGGACCAGAGAAACCTAGAAATGGGCAACAGAACAGTGGGTTATGCTCCGAGAAGGAATCATTCACAGTGACTGACAGTGACAGTGATTAAATGATAACTAACTTTACTACTTTAAAGTAGTAAAGATTATGAAAGGCTACACAAAAACACACATACACACCTGCAGTATTCGTTGGATGATGGCAGGCAGAGAAATAAAGCTGCTCATACAGTTGAGAACCTTCATTGTCAGCTCCTTCAGCACTGACACACACACAATTAATATCTTAATAAACAGCACTATATCATCACTCATTATCACTACCATGATTAGGGTCTCAACAAAGTAAAGGCCTTTTATACTGCTTTAAGTGATGGTTACACAAACAGAGGGGCTCAATGGCTAAATAAAGTATAAAAAAGAATTCTTCATGGACACAAAAGTCCTTTCATAGATTCTGGGCCACTAGGGAAGGAGGAAGGAAAATCATTTAACTTCAATTTTACATTAATACCAAATCACAAAACAGAAAACTGAGTAAATGGTGTCATTAGGTTTCTGGACACAAAATTGTTGAAGGTCTTGGGTCCAAATTATAACCAAAATCCGTGCCTGCATGTGTAACAATACAAATAATTTCAAGTCTTTGTGTTTACCCTCTGAGGTGTGTTTAGCATGGAGTCCTTTCACTAGTTTCCGCGAAGCCATCATGGTCTCCAGAAGAGGAAACCACAGAACCTATGACAAAATAAAAAAACCAAAGAACACAAACACGCGCATTAGTTGTCATGTGAGGACAGCGCTGCCATTGGTGTGTGTGTGTGTGTGTGTGTGTGTGGCCTTGTTTATCAATACTTGTGCAGCCTAAAATCCATGAGTTGCTCCATGAGTTCCGGTGGGGACCGGAAGTCACTTGTGGGGACCGGAGGGTGGTCCCCACAACGTAATTTGTTGAATTTTATGAAAATGATAGAGTGTAAGGTTAGAGCAAATAGAAGTTCTGGTTAGGTGTTAGGGTAAGTCTCCTGGAAATTAATGTAAGTCTATGTAGGGACCCGGTAACTGACAGAAACAAGGATGTGTGTGTGTGTGTGTGTGTGTGTGTGTGTGTGTGAGTGAGTGAGTGAGTGGAGAGAGAGAGAGAGAGAGAGAGAGAGTTGGTGCTGCAGATGGCTGCCTTGGTTCTGTACCAGAGACAAATTCCTTGTGTAACATACAGTACTTGGCCAAATTAAGTGATTATCATTATCATCATCATACACTCAACTGTGAGGACACTCATTGACATAATGTCAGCCTCTAACCTCTAATCTTAAGCCTGTGAAGACCAGCTAAAATGTTCTCACAATAGGCACACAATGTACACACCCACCTCTCTTTGATGCTGGTCAAGGTTATGAGAGCTTCGATGACACAAGGCAATGATCTCATTGAGTGAATCCTTTACTTTGGTCAGTATTGACTCCTGGTTTCCCTCCTCTTCATCCTGTCTTCCATCGCCTCCTTCAACTCCTCTGTCACACTCAGCAGTGAAGAGAGACAGTCTTTCCTTCAACATCTGCAGAGACCGTACAAAAACACTACATAAGCAGCTACATAAAACAGCAGTGGTGAAAAGTTTACCTACTGTATTTAAGTATACATAGTTTGTGGTACTGGTACTGTAATTGAGTATTTTCATTTTGTAGATATTTATACTACTCCGCATTTGAAGATTATGCCATATGCACACCACTGTGTGTGGCCACTGATATCACAGATATATCAGTCACTACTAGAGCAATTATATTCATGTAACACATTAAATGACAAATATTTAGTCCATTAATAACAATGGACTATTCCCTCTGTGCTTGGTAGATACCTCTAGCAATACAGCAAATGATCCATGAACATCTCCCTTCTTCTCTAGCAGATAGGCTGTAGCATCATTGTGGTGGTACTTCTCTGTTATCTAGAGAGAAAGATATGAAAAAAAGATGTACTGTTAGTGGGGTGCCTCTAGTAACTACTACACGGGGCACACTTTCAGTCATCCATCTCACCTTCATCTTATCAAACAGATTTACAGGTATAGCTGCCTATGCAGACTGTGTTAACAGCCTGTTTGATTTGTGCTTTATGACTGCTAACCATGGCCAGATCAGTCTTTTTAGAGTTGAAATCTTTTCTTCTTCCACTTAATGAGTGTAACTACACTCATTATGTATTGTATATGTATTGTACTGTATGAGCAAAATCTTTTTTAAAAATGTTCCACGGTGCATACAGGATCAGGCTGCAGGTGCCACTGCTAAACCACTCATCAACAAGTCAGACAAAGTATTGTGATTCTGTAGAGAAAATGTTATTTGTACTTCTGTTGAAAATAAAAGTATAACTACAGCATCGATGATGCTGATCTGTTTGACACACAAAAAAGCAGTCCAATTAATAAGGCTACTGCTGTGCCACATGCATAAACTGCACAAAGCTCATCTTTAAATGTGGAGACATGGGTACCAATTCTGTTGCTGTTTGATGCCCACAGTGATTTAATAAAGTCAAAGAACATTAGTTATATTTTACATTTCTTTTGTCTGACACAGTATCTCCAGCCAGAACTGTGACACTTGCCATTGGTGTGATGCTGAGCGCCTCCTCTTGACATCTAAATGAGCTCAGCTCCAGTAGTCTCTGGCCAAATTTTACCCTGATTATATACGTATGATGAGAGTATTGAAACTTTCAACTCCTACTTGAACTTGGAAATACAGTTTAACAAGGAGTGCACTTTTATCATAAATGTAGTATTTTTGTAACTAGTTACAGTGATCTTATTCTACTTATTAGTCTTTTGATCTGTAAGATTTGAGTCTTATAGACTCTAGTTACTTTATAAGCTTTAGTTACCTCTCATACCTTTAGTTCCCTTTAGTTACTTCTCATACCTTATCTTACTTGTTTATGCATATTACAGCTGTATTTATGATTGTCCAGAACTACTGAGCTTTGGTTAATTTTAATACATTTATTTTCCTTGCTTATATATCTTACAATTGTATTGATGAGAATCAAGTAGTATCTGCCCACTTTGAATGCTATAACTTCTGTGTAGAGACTAGATGTCTGCATCTCTTTGAGACCAGACAGCCTATTTACATTTTAGCAAAGGCCTGTTTTACAATCACACCTCGACCCACTTAGCATATCCCAAGCTTTGCTTTGTCTTGCAATGTCCTGCAGAGGCCAGGGGCTCACCACCTGAGAGACACACACACACCTAGATTTACCATATTTCAACATGGAAGTGCGAGCTCCGGCTCACACCAAATGACCAATAGGATCACAAAATATTGAAGGTTGCACCTCTGTCCAGGGCGGAGCAGACCAAGAAGATAAAATGTATTGTAAGACCTTAATTTGGGGTCAGTGGATGGAACTCCTGCGGGAGCTCTTTCTCTCTGATCCCAGCGCTGTAAGGCCTACCTGTGATCAGACATTTAGTAAACTTTCTGCTGATTTTAAACAGTCCTCTCCTGTCATCACTTCTCGTGCTTCCAACAAAAGAATTGGATTCAGTAACACTCAGATGAGCAGCATGGTGGCGCGGTGGGTAGCGCTGTTGCCTCCCAGCGAGAAGGTCCCGGTGTTCTGTCAGATTTTGCTACCTATCAAGACGTGCTACCCAACGTTCACAAAGTGGTTAGGTTAGGGGAATTCTTCAACTCTCCCCGTAATTGTCCGTTGACTTTACGGTTTGGAATGGAGGGTCAAAGTAGAGTGCACGGGCCGACGCTTGTCACTCTGGCTCATGGGACGGTGTGTTGCCCCAAGAGAATGGATTGTTTGTGTTTTGCAGTTTGTGTTGTTTTTGTTACGTTTTGGGTGTTGGGTCAGTTGATGTTTATTTTGTTAAAGTTTGGATTATTACCGTGTGCGCATGCGTGCGTCCATTAAGGGTAGGTGTTTGGTTTTTACGTCCTCTTGGGGAGTTGTGTATTCCTTTTTTGGATTGTTAACGTGTGCGCATGCGTGCATCCATTAAGGCTAGGTGTTTGGTTTTTACGTCCTCTTGGGGAGTGTAAGGGTTAAGTTTAGCCATTAAGCCCAAGGCGGTTAAGGTTAGGGCCGGGATAATGGATGGGTGGTTTTTAGGGTTATGTTTTAGGGCTTTCAAAGTGGTTGGGTATTTTGGAGCGATAGGTGTGTTATGGTAAAATGTAGGAGCGTTGTGGCGGAGGTAATATAATAATAATAATAATAATAATAATAATAATAATAATAATGGGGTAGTTAATATCCCTGATCAGTAAGTCCAAATTTATAACCCCGCCCAAAGTCCTAACCCAAGGTAATGGATTGGGGCAGGGTTAGTCAGTCCATAGATTTTGCAACAAGGTAGTATATCTCGACAAGGTAGCAAAATCTGACAGAACACCGGCATTCATAAAAACAGGTAAGCAGAATACCTTTTTATAATATAGAGAAATTCTGCACATTGGGCACTCTAAAACGCTGAATTATCTGATTGAGGATCTTCCCCGATTGGTAAATTGTTTTAAAAGAGAAGTAAAGCATGTTATCTTTGTCTGAAGTCTGATTACATGTAATGTCTCAACCACATAGCCTCACATGAGGGAGAGTTCATGAGGGTCCTAGTCTTAGATCGTTTGGCTTCATAAAAGACGTAAATTCCATCACATGAATGGATAACCACTGAGGGTTGTCTTACAAATTTAATAAGACATTTGATACTATTTAATTCCAGGTTTTATAAAATAAAGCCTGAAGCCAGGAATGCGCCCTGTTGCCGCTAGAGTTAGCAAAGTCACTTTAAAAGTGAAGTTTGGTTAACGTTAAATTATCAATGAGGACAAAGGGACAAGTTTGTTGTGTTCCATAATTGTTGGGGGTGGTTTCCTACTTGAAAGAGATTTTCGACTGTCTTTACAAACAGCGTATCAAGCAGCTTCCTGTTTGAGAATTCCTGTACTCATACAGCTCTGAAGTAGTTCTGTCTTGGGGGGCATTGGAATAGCAGTTTGGGATTATAGAGTATGGTACTCCAAGTTTGGTGTCTAAAACAAGTGATTTGACTGGGATACCCTCAACAGCCAAGCGCACAGAGCCTCTGTGTTCTTGACTGGGTCGGTCAAGTGGGCGCTGCGCCATTCACCGAAACTTGTTGATACGTGTTTGTCTAATTTTCTGCTATGGCGCTAAATATATGTGAACGGTGGAAAGAGAGCAAATCCGACACCCTGGGGTCGGTAGTGTATGTAGCGGCAATGAGATGGCTCAGGAAGGTTCTTACGGAAGATGAAGGGAAAGAATTAGAAAGATTTACTTGTTGGGTGGAAGATATGCAAGACAGGGGGATGTTTGGAGACTGTAAAGGCGCTCTGCCTGAAGTGAGTGATTTAACGCTGTTTTTGAAGCAAGCTGCAATGAGCGTTGAACAACGTAAAAGAAAAGTGTGCGAAGTAGGAAGATTGCACAAGGGAAATGCTATTAAGAGGGCTCGAAAGGCAGAGGCTTTTCTAGCAAACTGCCAATGTTTTCTTACTGAGGTTCAAATTGCTCTCAAACATAAGTCCTCTGCATCATTGACCTCACAAATGCCTGTAACAATTACTGAATCGCCAAAGACACAACCACTTGAGAACAAAGAAAATGTGCCCACCCCGCTGAGGCGCGTTCACTGTTAACTACACCAACCCAGACCAGAGAGATTTCTCCAGACATGGGTTCCTTGGTGGTTGTTAAAAATGGCCTCTTGCTCTCTCCAGTCTCAGCCTCAAATGCCACAAACTACACCAACCCAGACAAGAGAGATTTCTCCAGACATGGGTTCCTTGGTGGTTGTTAAAAATGGCCTCTTGCAAACTGCCCCATTCCCTGGTAACAATGCCTCACAGAAAGAGACAGCTGAATATTTAAATGAAGTAGCAGCTTGTAGTACAAACACCTTTGTTTCTAGCACACCAGCTGCTAAAGGACTACAAACACCAGGAGCCAGTCAAGACACACACTCACAGTCCTCCTCCTGCCCTCTTTCTAGGCCTCACCTTCTCAGTCAGACAGTGTAAACACTGTAGTTAGTGCTACAGGTGGTCCTGATGTAACTGGCTTAACCTTTGCAGCTGATGATATGGGTTTTTCTGATTTAAAGAATAGAAACTTATTTCCAAGCGCTACTACACAGAGACTTAATCATGGGCTTGTCCATGCCTGCCTTGAATCAGTCACAGCCTCAGCAACAAATGCCTTTAGTAACCACTACCTCCGCTAGTGGGCGCGCTCCTTCCTCTTACACCCCATTTTCCCT